TTTTTTTAGGGTCGATGACTTTTAATTCACGTTTATTTTACGTTTTATAGATGCAGAAACCACACCAGTACTAGCTTGTCTCGCCGACATAAGACTAGTGACTAAGTAGTAAAATCAAGATCAAGATTTAGTGAAGCTAAAAGCACGATGGATACATAGATCGATCGACGAAAAGATAGATGGATAGGTCGATAGATAGATACGCAGATAGATGGACGGATAGATAAACAGAGAGGTAGACACATGGCTACTTAAACAGACGGACGGATGGAATGATGAGCGGGTGGATGGACGGACAGAAGATAGAGAAAGAAACAAACAAACAGACCGACAGGTACGCATGTGCACACCTTGGTTTAATCTCCGTACACATCGGTTTGCATGCAGAAGTGATACGCAAAACAACGTATAAACAACAAAAACCTGACATCGAACCCCACGCCTCGCCACAAGCAGAGCCTAGCGCAAACTCCATCCAAAGCTCGTGAACTCCGAAGTACGAGCCATCGCTGCATCATGCTGCATCTCAAACCGCTGTTAAGTGCTCCAATCCTCGTCGTTGACCAGGGCTCGCGCATGCGGGCTGAGGTACGGATCCCCTTCCTGAAACAGATGTGGTTTGGTGTCAGGACTTCGTCCGGGATGTTGTGGTTTGCACGTCCGAGCCTTGTGCCCACAGAACTCGCTGAAATGGACACACTGGGATTGATTCGGGCTTTGTGCTTAGGGTTTACGGGGGGGTGCAGGACTCAAAACCTTGGGACAGTTGGCTCCGGATTGACTCTCACAGGAACCTTACTTAGCTTAGAGTTTACTACGACCCTGCATATCTGCGCAGCTTTTAAACGCTTCTAAAACTGCCCCTTTGCCCGCGAAGGCTGCTGAGGATAAAGTCGAGAAGATGTACCAAGTTTCACAAACGTATTGATGCTAATATCTGTTCACCCCCAGCTCGAACCGGTATGGATCTGAAGGCGAAGAAAGAGGGGCCTACCTGATTCAACACAAGGCCCCGCAGTCTTGTCAAAGCCTTGTGGACGACTACACGGTTTTCTGAGACTGGAGCCGTGGCACCTTGAGCTTGAGCCGTGCAGGATCCAGTTTTTGAGGCCTCGGATACTTGGAGGATCATGGGACTTAGTAAGTAAGGTTATAACTCCCTCAATTGGGGTTATAAGTATATATAAGTATAGTTACCTTAATTATAACCCTACTTACTAAGTGCCATGATCCTTTAAGTAGGTCAAGCGAGGTTCCTGAAGCATCCTCAGATTCGGATGCCGAATATCGGTATACCCTTCAGTCTCTCTTCAGGGCCCTAAACCCTAAACCCTAAACCTTAAAAAGCTGGGATGTTGCGAAGCAAAGGCTTCTCTAGAGGCCAAGGCGTCAAGTCTCTACCAAAATCAACCGAGAAAGCCGAAGCTCAGTCCCTAAGCCCAGTGTTGCCATAGCTGTAGCAACAGACCGGCACTAAAAGTTTGAAAACCCTGGAGTTGGCTAAGCCCGGGTTCAGAGCACAGCTCATGCGTGGTGCAGTTCAAAGCATGGAAGGCTTGATCTGAACTCCGAGACTTTCTTAGACTGTTCGCAAATCTTCACCAGCCTTTTGGAACAAAGCCAGAACCCGTCGCTGTAGCATGCGGGATGATTCGTTTGAGGTGTTTTGCCAAAGCAAACCTGCCATGCACCACATATACCCATTTCAACTGCATCTCTATATAGGCTTCCGTGGAACATCTGAGAACCTTCTAAACCTCCGTGTCAGAGCTTAGGTTCTATGTCCTGTATTGCTGTGAAGCAACTGACCATTGCTCAGGGATTCAGCATTGATCGCTGCCGTTTTCGAGCCTTCCACCGCCTTAACGAGCTGGCAAATCACGCAAGCAAGCATGGACATGAACACATAGGGTTTAGGGTTTAGGGTTTAGGGTACATGTACAAAGGTTCGTGGGCATATATGCGTATAAGCATATGCATAAGTGTATGCAGGCATGCATGCATGCATGCATACATATACATGCATGTACATACAGCATACATACATACATTTTATATAGATCTATCCATGCATGCATGCGTGCATATACATACGCAAATACAAATACATGTACATATGCAGGTACGTCTATATACACACACATACATACATACATACATACATGCATGCATACATACATACATAACTACATTACTTACATTACACACATGCATGCATACATACATATATACCTACATACTTTCATACTTTCATTTCATTCATTCCTTCCTTCCTTCATCCATCCATCCATCCATCCATCCCATCCCATCCCATCCCATCCCATCCCATCCCATCCCATCCCATCCATCCCATCCATCCAGCCAGCCAGCCAGGCAGCCATCCATCCATTAATTGCGTACGTACGAACGTACAAAACCTACATGCATGCATGCTGTATGCCCGGAGTATGCACACACTCGCACACAAACACCTCCCCGTGTATGTGGAGGGTCATCCGTCGGTCGATGCATTGCACGCAGATAGCCCCGAATAAGTTTAATAATGACACTACCGCTTGCAATCCTACAGTAACCCCCATGTATGCGGGAACGCCAAGGAACAACTGTACTTTTCCGGCTCTTAGGCAAGAGCTGCTAAACCCTGCACTCTCAAGCCGAAGCCCATAAGCCCCAAGGCACGCTTAAGGCCCCCCAAACCCCAGAACCTTAAAGCCCTGAACACCCTAAAGATCCCTAAACCCCAACCCTGAAGATCCGTAAGCCCCGCTGTCAGAGATCTTTTTCCAGGCCCCTCCTTCAGACAAGGAGGCGCTGGAGCTCCGTGGGAAGATCCTCGAGTCGGGAGCCCAGGGAGGACTCCGGAAGAATACCTGGAATACCTTTTAGCACGCGGAATCCCAACACGAAAATCCGGGTACCCTCGAAACCCTCAGCACCAACACTGAAGTGCCCTTAAATCTACTACGCGCAAGCCTAAACCCGTAAACTCCTAAGCCCGAATATTCTAGATCCTCATACGGACCCTGAACACTAGACCCTAACGCCATAAACCTGGAACCCCCAAACTTTACGCTACTGGATTGGGCAGCGACAACTGGCGTAAAAATGTTAATGTGATAGGTACAGTGCAAGTGGTCACGCGATAGACATGCACACACAAAACCACGCACACATAACACACACACACACGCTCACACGTATGTATGTACATGTATATATGCATGTATGTATGTA